TCCTGGGCCCCCAACGGAGTTTACTAGCTGTTTGACCCTGAGAAAGTTATTTAATTTCTCTGCATCTCAGTTTCCTCATTTGGAGGATGGTGATCATAATGGTACTTCTAGGTTCTTTGTGAAGATAAAATTAGTTAATATATGTGAAGCACAAAGAAAACACAGTAAATGTGATGTAAGTGTTATTATAACTATTGGATATAAAATATATTTTAAATCTGACTTTTTATCAAGAATATAGTGCAAAATTATAAATCCATCAGTTATATGTAGTTTATTTTTCCACTTATCTATTTTTTTCCACTTATCTATTTTAAGACAAAGTTCTAGTTGGTTAAAAAAAAATTAGAACTTTCAGACCATCAAGTTAAAGACTACATAAATGCAAAGTATTTGACATTAGTTGCTGTCTACTCAAGATTTTCCCTTTCTTCTTTAAATTACAGGGAGGTTTTTCTTTGGTCACTGTTCTCAGTAAGGCAAAACCATTGAGCTGAAGATCTGTTAGTATTAGAATGATTCAGTCATAGGTATTGGGGATGGAGGGGGAGTGTGTCATGTGTCCCGTGTGCAGATAGGGAAACAAAGTAATATGGTTTGACATATAGGGAAAGTTTAGGTGCTACATACTCTTCATCCAGTACATTCAAGGGCCTTGTTGAAACAAAAGGAAACAGGAAGTAGCATTCTTGTTTTCGAATTCTGTGACAATGCAATGTACAAATGCCATATAGCTTATTTTTTAAAAAAGTCTACTAATCCAATTTGGGGTGAATACATCTAGCTTGCTTTATTTCCAACTTGCAGACTTTCCTCCAGGGCAGCTACAGAAAACCTGGCCAGGATTCCAGCTCGTGAGGGTAGAATTTGGGATTGAGTTCTGGGAAGGAGGGGATATCTCACCAAAAGTTGTTTGGATTAATAGAGTTGAAAGGATGAGAAGAGAGTCAGGCTGAAGAAAACCAAATGCCAACAGCAGGAAGAAATTGAATCCACTAGGAACAAGGGTGCTTATTTCAAATTGTTTTGAATAATGTTGGGGTGGTGTCAGTTTAACTTTATAGTAGGAAGATACATGGTCATGGTGGGTTGGCCAAAAATATGAGATGAGAGTGGAAATCAATTTCTCCACACCTGCGTTGTTCTTTCTCCATGTTGGCCATTTTATTCTTCCTCTTTTAAGAGGATCTCAGCAAGAGATACCAGAACACAAAGAGGCAAAGCAACTGTACCATTACCTGCACTAAGAAAAACACAGTCAGTTAAGTATCTGAGTCTTGGTTTCGGCTCAGGTCCTAATATCAGGGCTGTGAGACTGAGCCTCGCATGAGGCTCCATGCTCAGCGGGGCGTTTGCTCGAGGTTCTCTCTCCCTGCCCCTCCTACTAGTGCTCTCTCTTTCTCTGTCTCAAATAAGTGAATAAATATATCTTTAAAAAAAGGTCTGTTTTGAGAATTAGGGTCTTATTCATCCATGATATCTTTGCTTCATTAACATGGAGAATTGAAATTTGATTTTCCTCAACCAGTTTTATTTTTTCTCAATAAAAAAGTCATCTTATACCTCACCTACTTTCAGTAGTTGTTATTCCTTACTGAGTTTACTGCTCTCAGCTTTCTGACAAACTCCAAAATAATGACCTATGCTGTGTATTGTTACACGTTCAGTCAGACAGATAGATACAGATAGATGAGTATGTGTTGCACAAAGACAGTTTAGCATTATTTAATCAATGTTTGTTTGATCTGCGTAAAACGAGTATGAATGTAAGCTGCGTCCCATCTGTTCTATCACTCATGTGAAGCCAACCTCATTTCTAAAACTTGATTTCTTATGTAATTGCCCCAGAATGACAGAGGATGATCAGCTGGAAAGAAATACATTTCAGACTGGCGAGATAAAGAATAGTTATGTTTAAGTGTTGGGCTTCTTCGTTTTTCAGTGGCCTTCAGGATAAGTAGCATCATGGCTTGGTAATTACCAGCTGTTAATCATCAGCTGGGCTTTGATATCACACAGACCTGGGTTTGAGGGTGAAGATATGAGTCTAGCTGTGTGAGCAAATTACTTAACCACCGAATCGCATAGTGCCACAGAAAAGGCCCTTAGTAAGATTTATTGAATTAATCTTTCTTTACTTCAATTTCCTTGTCTGGAAAATAACAATACGTACCTCATAACACTTGTGAAAATTAAACAGGATACTGCATGACCCGGCAGCTATTATAATTATCCTACTACTATAGGTCTTCTTCTCATGCATCATCCTTTAAGCTTAAACATATTAACACATGTGACATAAAATTCATGTTTCCATGACTGGTTTTTAAACTCTTCAATGTAGGTATCAAATCAAGCATTCAGAAGGCTGGGAATATGTGGCAAGAGTGGAAACGGACATAAGTTAACAGTGTCTGTGTTGAGAGATGCAATTTCATTAGTCTAATTAAATGCATGCCTCTTTACACATCTGTGAGTGATCTTAGTCTGAAGAACAGGGCCATCAGAGGAAGTAATATCTTCTGCCAAAGCACTGTGCATCACTGAGCCTAGGAGCTTCTGGGGATATTTTAGAGAATAATGTGTAAGAAGCTTATGTACTCAGCAATGCTCCTCAGTATAAAGTGGAATATCACTGGTAGTTGTAATTTCAGGATCACATACTTTACTATTAAGCCATACGATAATGAGTGCTAAAGTATAAGTTTAGCACACTGTTAACTGCAGTTTCCATAGTCTGTTCTTTAACTCCCATGTTACATGGAAGAATGACTCCACGATTTCTTTTTATGAACTCTTCTCAACAACATCTATTCCTCAATTCAATTCATTTAAGGAAACCTGTTGAACCATAATTTATTGAGCCATCTTTGTAGATGCAAAGATGACTAAAGGCGTATAGGTAGGACTGTGGCTAAGGACTTTAGAATCTAAGCTGTAGGTCATTCAGAGCCAGTGGAAGTTCTTAGGCAGGAACCTAACCTGCCCAGAGCAGAGCTTCAGAAATACTACTTTGGTATGAAGAGTGCATTAGAGTGAGAGTTCAAAGAGAGAGTTCAAGCAGTCATCAGCTACTGAAGGATTGGATTTAGGGAGTGGCAGTGAGCTGGTAGATTTAGGACTGATTTAAGAAAATTTTAAGGTAGGGTTTGCTCACCAAATAAAGCTGCTTTGTGTGGAGAAAGTTCAAGGTTGACTTGAAGGCTTCCACCCAGGCATCCGCATGTTTCAGCTCACTGGATGCTTGGAAAGAAGTACATTCCACAGGGGAGATGATGAGCTTCCCTGGAAGAACAAACTAGAAAGACCCCTAATTATATTATCCTTTAGACTCTAAAGCACGGATAATTATTTTGCTGAATACTGTTCAGTGATGGACTCGTTATATATAGGTTAGCAGAGGCTAAGAAAAGAAAAGGGGTTTTATAATCCTTAGTAAATTAGAGACTGCAATCTATCCTGCTGAGAATTTTAGTATGTTTGGAGGCTATTCATGACGGTTAATAGGTTGACTCTTTACCATCCCTATTAAACACAAAATATACACATCTTTAATAAGTAACAGCAATTGGATATGTTTTACTTTCCAGGTCTACATATACATATTGAAGCATGGCAGATGCCCAGGATCAAAAACAACTGCTAAAAATTCTATTAACATAACATGGTATCTTTACTTTTTTAAAGAATTTTACCTGTATATAAACCCAATTTATCATTATTTCTGAAAACTTGACTTTAATCATTTGAAATCATGTTTATGTAATTACTGAACTCATGTTTCCATATACCATGAAATTATATCTTAAGAAAGTGTCAGTATCGTATGATCAAAGAAAAGATGTTTTGATTTCCGTAACATTGCAGGAAATTAAAAAGTCCCTCGGAGTTTTATAATCAAATCCAGAATCCAGTCTCAAAATAATGGTTCTGCTTTAACTATAAAAAATGTATATATTGGGGTGCCTGGGTGGCTCAGTCGTTAAGCGTCTGCCTTCGGCTCAGGTCATGATCCCAGGGTCCTGGGATCGAGCCCCGCATCGGGCTCCCTGGTCGGCGGAAAGCCTGCTTCTCCCTCTCCCACTCCCCCTGCTTGTGTTCGCTCTCTCGCTGTGTCTCTCTCTGTCAAATAAATAAATAAAATCTTTAAAAAAAAAATGTATATATTATTTTATATTTGTGCAATATTTACTTTAGATTATTGAATAATGGCTTGTTGAATGAAGGCATCAAGAAAAGTCATTAAAAATCAGAAAAATAAGTTTAAAATAAAGAATAAAAAGAAGCAAACTTTGTAAATATAATGCAATGATAAATAGGAAATAAATACAAAAGTAAGTAGACCCTATTTGCATTGGGTCATGAATTGATATTTGAAGATGATTATTAGATTTAACCAACTTCCCTTCTTTACAATTATTCTTAACTATTTGAATTGTACAAATTGCCTTGTGATACTGGTCATAGTGTGTTATGGAGAAACAGACACAATTTTAAGTTGCCATCAGGTTGTAAGCCCGTAGGCAAAGAAAGAACAGTGAAGCCCGTGTCCAGTGAAGCTAGTGAATGACCAGTGAATGTAAGGGTGAGGCTAGGTTCTGACAGGAAAGAGTAGGGAGAATAACCAAGATAAAATAATGTTCATAGAACCAGAAGGAATATTGAACCAGATAATTTGTAAACTCCAGCTGCAGAGAAGGAAATGGAAAAGTAAAACAATTTTTAAAACCCTGCCTTTCCAATATTCACAGAACATCTATATTGACTTTTTTTTTCATTTGAATCAGTGTTGGTGACTATCACTGTTTTTTACTATGATTAATCATTTCGTGTTATGCTAGTTATATTACTGTTCAGCTTCATAGCTAGGGTCATCTTTGAAGAAGTGTGGCTTCAGACTTTTCTTTTTAAATCATGTTTGTTACTTGTGATAAATGCCTATAATCTGTGTTATCAAATATTGATTTTGTGTGTGTATATGTGCTGTTTTTCTTTTAAAGTCAATTGACCCTGGCCAGCAGTTCACATGGGAACATTCAAACTTGGAAGTAAACAAACCAAAGAATAGATATGCAAATGTAATCGCATATGATCATTCCCGGGTTCTCCTATCAGCAATAGAAGGTAAGGAAATTCAGACATTATTTACACTTTTATTTTCATGAGTTTAAGAGTGTGCATGAAAATATATTTTTAGCTAGGTTTTTCGCTATCTATGGACATAGTTAATTAAGATTCGGGTATCACTTACTCTCACATTTTCTTTCTCATACAAATATACTATGTATATTTGGGCACACAAAATCCCTAACACCATATAACATAGAAGCATCTCTCATTACCTTCTTGGCTTGACTCTAGGTGGAAGACTTCATAATGTAGTTGATGTTTATAGAGGGGAAGCAAATCGAGGTTGCCCATTTTACTGATGGTTGCTGATGGTTATAAATAAACAGGTGATTGTCAGAAGATGCTCATTGACTATTATTTTTAAATGGGGGGGGGCTTCTTTGTAAATAAACCGGGATAGCCACTAGGGACAGTCTAAAGGTTAGGAGTTGGTGGTGTGGTGATTAATTAAAATTAAGCATATTGGAAATGTCTGGTACAGCTAATTTGTGGACTGCTTAGTAATCTATCTTTCACAATTGTAGCAAGGAGTGCATTCCAGAAGGAATGATTGCTCCTAAAAGATGGGGATTACACCTCTATTATACCTAGCTTCTTGTAAGGATTCATGAGGAGAGTATTTTCCATTCATCCCCTTCCAGTAATAAATCCCTTCACATGGCATATTAAAATCAATTAGGAGCTCATGTTCAACATTCAGTATTTTGTTAGTTTTTTTTTTGTTGTTCGTTTTGTTTTTGGCTATGGTAGCATATTTCTGTCCTTAGAAAAGAGTTTACAATGTCACTTAAATCCTTCCTTCTGTCCTAATAGCTAAGCTGGACCACCAACTGCCACATACCACTTCATCCTCATTGGCATCCTTTAGAAAAGCTCTGTGGCCTTTTCATACTTGAAAGTTCACTGCTTACCCTCTTCCAGATGTTTTAGTAAACATTAAATAATACCAAATTCAGACCCAAGTCCTTTTTAGAACCTGGCAGTTCAAACATTTTCATCTATAGTCGTTCAAGTATCTTTCACTTTTTTCTGCTCCTCAAATCTGTGATGACTACCACTTTATCTCATAACTCTGATCAGGTCCTACAAATCCAACATGCTTCATTTAGTACCAAATTTAATCTGAAAGTGAGACACTGCTTAAAGTCTTCCCCAGTAAGCACACAAGGCAACCAATACATTTATTTCCAGTTTTATGGGAAGAACTATCTTTCAGCATTTGAGCAAGCCCATACCTGCAGCACCCTTTCTTCAAACTGGTGTTATGTGGCATAGATATATTTTGTAAAATTCTCCCAATTAATTTTACTTTTGATGTTGGAAAATGTTATAATTCCTTTTTGAGGCTATTGAAGTACTAGGAGCTCAAGAGTTAACCTTTTTCCATATGGGAAAAAATTGATCAGGTTTATCAAAATTTCACCAATGCTAGTTCTTCAAACAGGATGGTGTCAAACAGGTAATTGCTTCAAGTCCTGTTTGAAAACTGTAATTGGTATATGTGGAGGATTAGCATATAATATTTACATTTTATATTTCCCACTTTAAAATGTAAAAAAATAAATAAATAGCAATTTCTTGGACTTGGGACAAGAAGTCTCAAGTCAACTCCATAGTTAATAAGAAATTAAACCAAGTCACAAGTGGAGGAGAGAAATCTTTTTTCCATTAGTGAAACGGGTAAATTATAGAAACTAAATGAATGTAAACTGAGAACCTATTTGGCATGATCTTGGCTGGAGAACTTGTCAGTCTGCTTTTGCTGTATTGTAGCATTGTTTCTACTCAGAATTAGGTCATTCAGTATTACCATGTCCCTGTACTTTGCCCACTTTTATCATTATTTTCCTTAACCTGTTATTTTCCACCATCTTAATAGTAAAGTATGTTGAAGGACAAAGAATATTCCTCCTTGTCCTTTTATCATGATAGATGGAAACTATGTACATTTCACTCCTATGCTATTTTTACAGTACAAAAGCAAAAGCACTTGAATCAGACTAAAACCTGCCTTTTTATAGCTCTATGCTCACAAATATACCCTAAATCTAGAGCTGACCTAGAAACCAAAAGTCTTTTAATTTTGTCTTACACAAAAGGTTAGAAGCATTTAATTGAAGTTTATGGGCTATATAAAGAGCTTTAATCTAGATTACAACCATGAACAGTGTTTTATCTTAGACTAAGCCCTACTCAGCAGATATTTAAGGGGATAAACGATCATGCTATATCTTGAGCGGAAAAGGAATGCTGGCAACAGGAACCACAGAACCGCCAACTGGGGCTTCTCGCATAAAGGGAGCTTTGATAACACAGAGCCAGATTTTTCAAGGGGATTTAAATGTCAAGAGACTTCATGAACAATTTATAAAATTTAACATGCTTGTTTTGGGTTCCACCTGTGGTGATAACTTAAAAGACTTTGGTTAACGTTTTAGTTTGGACATTTTTGCTGCTGTTCTCCATGGCGCTGGCCCCTCTTCATGTTTACTTTGCAGAGTGGTCTGACAGACAATAAAGGAAAACTGGAAGTTGCCACAGTGATTCGTATTATCTTTATCTTTGTTTCCTAAAGCAAAACCTTTACACTACTTCCGCTGAGCAATGGCAGGGGATATAAACTAAAGAATGGGGAATTGTGTGTCAGCACGAGTGTGCTTATTGAATTCTGTGAAAATAGTGATACTTCATGACATGTTTCCAAATTACAGTCATTTTATTTATGTTGGGGAAAATGTAGAATAAATTCAAGAGAGTTTCAACTACAGAAATGCTTACATTTTTTGAATTATAGAGCAAGCACTATGGAAACACAATTAAATTTTTGACCAGTCCAGTTACTGTTGGCCTCCGCTCCATGTTTAAGCTGTCCTTAAGAGACATCAGTAATTCCTGAGGAAGAGAGGTGATAGGATTTATTTTCATAGTGTAAGCTAAATATTGTCAAAGACTAAATGGAAACTAATACTTATACGTACATACATAAAATAATATATAATTATATGTTTAATCTTATAGAATCCAAAGTTGCTCATTACTTTTACTAAAGTAGGAAAAAACAAATGGGTAAGCCAAAAGATGAGAAGAGCAAGGAAATCTGGGTTTGGGTCACAGCTCTGTCACTTCCTAGTCATGTAACCTCATCTTCTCTGAGTGTCAATTCCTAGCTGAAACCTTTTTTTTTTTTTTAATTTGAGTATAGTTGACATACAATGTTACATTAGTTTGAAGTATACAACGTAAGTGTTATGCAACTGATTCAACTTCTGTGTAAGTTATGCTGAGCTCACCACAAGTGTAGCCTCCATCTGTCCCCATACAATGCTATTAAAATATCACTGACCATATTCCCCATGTTGTGCCCTTATTCCCATGACTTATTTATCCCATAACTGAAAACCTGTATCTCCCATTCCCCTTCACCCATTTGGCCCATCCCCTCATCCCCCTTTCCTCTGACAACCACCAATTTTTTCTCTGTATTTATAGGTCTGATTCTGCTTTTTATTTGTTTATTCATTTGTTTTATTTTTTTTAAATTCCACATATGAGTGAAATCTCTTTTACTTCTGACTTCTATGAATTAGCTCTATGTAGCTTTCCTATCAATTATATCATTTACTGTACACACTATGTTATTTTGCTATATATATGTGTGTGTATATATATATATGTATATATATATATACACACACACAGTCACACCATATATAAGTAATAGAGCTCAAATTGGAAGTGAGCTTTTCTGATTCCTCAGCTCATGCTTGCATGGGCCCACCTCATTCACACTGCTTTCCTACAGATAGGCAATGTGTCTGTGACTGAGTCACTAGCTTGAATCCAAATACCCAGACTTATCATTTTGCCTAAAAATCCATTTTATCATTTGTCTAACCTACGGATAATGCGAACATTGCATTTTAGTATTTCATTTCTTATTTTATGGCATAATTAATCTGAGGCAATGACACAATATGGGAAATCATCAGTGATCCAAATGCTTTAGAGTCCTGTAGTTGCAGAAGTAAGGTCAAGTGCATCTATCTCTAACTGATTCCAAAGGTGGTCTACTTACCTCAGTATCTTTGTCTGTATCTTAAACTTCTTATAAACTCAGGAATATCAATAAATGGAAGATTATTTATTGTAATGTCTAATAACTAGCATAACTTCTAATTATTTCAGTCCTAGATTTAAAAAAAAAAAGGTGTTTTTTCCCCTTAAAATGTAATTACTCTTCACTGCTGCCAGTATTCTATTTCTATTAGTAGGATCATAATTAACATTTCACTTTAAAAGGCATATTCAAATGGAATTTTTAAAATCATTGCCCACGGGGCACCTGGGTGGCTCCATCGGTTAAGTGTCTGCCTTCAGCTCGGGTCATGATCCCAGGGTCCTGGGATCAAGCCCCGTGTCAGGCTCCCTGCTCAGTGGGGGAGTCTGCTTCTCCTTCTCCCTCTACCCCCCCTGCTTGTGCTCTCGCTCTCACACTCTTTGTCTCTCTCTCAAATAAATAAAAGCTTTAAAAAAAATTGTTGGCCAGGACTAAATATAAAACAAAATTTAAAACCCTACTTTTTATGTCAACAATAAAGACAAGAATTTAGAATAGATATCATTATCTGGGTACCTATGGTGTGTTGGGCAACATGTCATAGATTTTATATCATGTATGAAATCATGGATAGATTTTATCTATAATGTTCAGAACAACCTCAAAAGCTAGTTGTTATTGTCAATTTTATAGATGAAGAAACTGTTAAACTTTTTTTAAGGATTTTATTTATTCATTTGAGAGACAGACAGACAGACAGAGAGAGCATAAGCAGGGGAGAGAGACAGAGGCAGAAGAAGAAGCAGACTCTCCGCTGAGCTGGAGCCCAACATGGGGCTCGATCTCAGGACCCTGGCATCATGACCTGAGCTGAAGGCAGACCCTTAACCATCTGAGCTACCCAGGTGCCCCAAAATTGTTAAACTTTTAAAAATCA